AGTTTCCTAGTAAGATTAGCATTAGAGATAGTTGGTAACTATAAATACCCCATGTATCTCATCATATTTTACAAGTTGAATGAAGTATTGAATTGGTGAGCCAATTGAGGGGAACTATATGTTCTAACGTGTGATAAACAAGGCCGTCAGTGCGTGTTTACATACAGTGTCGGAGAGAAGGCCTTGAGAGCGTCTCGAAGTCACAGTGTCTAGAAGAAGGCCCTGAGTGCGTCTGCTAGATACACCTATCGTGGATAAACGAAGGCCCTGAGTGCGCCGTTTATTCACAACCCACGTATAAATAACAACACCGATCAGCGATCCTTCATCATTGGTGCTTTCATTGAGAGTGTTTCATTGAGAGGTGCTGATCGTGTTCTTTATCTATCCATCTTTTTTTTCTTTTTTTTCGGTTTGCCTTTTGCTGAGGGGCCGAATTTCTCTTTATTTTTTGTTGGGATTCGAATTTTTTGGTTCGAATTTTCCCTTTTATTTTTCGAATTTGAGTCTTAAAAAAAAAGTGTCATCAAGTCCTTTGTTTGATTTTTTCGGTTATTACCTTTTGTTGAGGGGCCAATTTCTCTTTGTTTAATTTTTATTTTTTTGGTTCGAATTTTATTCGAATTTTTAGAGTCATAAAAAGAAAAAAGAGAGAGAATCATGATGTTACCATTAGATGAGTGGGATCAAGAGGATCTTGAATATTTGGAAGGTTTGGAGAGGGAATTAACCCCTTGGGAGCAAAATTACTTGGAGGAGATGTACGAGCAAAAGGAGGAGTATGAAAGTCAACTAAGGGTCATGAAGGAGTTCGTCGAAGAAGAGCCATTGTTTAAGTTCGATCTATCGGGCAATGGTGAGGACAAGGTCACCAAGCGTGACTCCGAACCAGTCGAGTACGAGGAACCTTCGTTCGCCCACGAGTTCACGGACGAGAATGAAGAGGAGGCGATGGGCGATGTCAAAGGGGAAGTCTTGGTCGAGATCGAAGGGGAGGATGAGCCCGAGCTAGTTGAGGTAATCCATATCGAAAGCGAGATCATGGTCGAGGAGAGCAGCGATGCACAACATGGATGAAGAAGTGTTTGAAGTCGAGTTCTTGGTTGAGGTCGATGAAGAC